TTTTCCGTGTGTGTTGCTGTAAACTATTGCGAGCTTTCCTGGATGGGGTTTTGTGTAGTCATGTGAGATTTCACAGCTTCGTGGAAGCCATGGGAAATAATTATCTTATAAATGAATTGTGATGCTATTAGGAACCATATTATTGAAATGCAGAGTGACTTTTATATTTAGCAAAATTTGAAATCACAGACTCATACATGAGCTATGTTATGTACTCAGCTAACAGAAGACATCTAGTTAAGTGCTTTGGAGGTTGTGCTGTGTGAACTGCATAGGAAAAAAAAATGCATTGCTATTTACTAAGTGGTGAGAGTTAGATCATTTCTGTTTTCTTCAAGTTATATATTTTTCTTTGGCTGTTACTTCATTCAGTATGCACTGTAAGTTCTGAGCTGCAAAACCATGAAATACAACTAATACAGCTGAGTCTGTTTGTGTATTTAGAACATGTTGTGTCCAGCAATGGATTTGCAGATTGCAGGGTTTTTTTCTGCTTTTTATTGTGTTTATCATCCTGTGTGCTAGAAATCTGTATTTGAGCAAGCCCTGCTAGCTGCAAAAACAAAATGTGGCTGTTGTAGACAGCACATAGAACAATAGAGCTGGTGTCTTTTTAAGCAGCATTTTTAAACTGTGTTTAAACGTTTGAGTGTTTAAGCACACTAACCCTCTGGCAAATATAAATCTGGGGAGAAGGGAGTAGTTGCTGGTGCTTTCTGGCAAGGCTTTGCTTCTCTGCAAGCTGCATTTTGCATGCTTCTTTTTTGTTGCCATTTCCAAATATAACAAAGGAATAAAAATCCAGTGTCATTTGGAAAGAAATAAATCAGAAGGAACAGTTGAAGAAAAAACTTGGTGGATGGTTGCCTGGCAGCTTTCTTCTTCAGACCCTGCCCCTACATGTTTTTACAATGCTAATTTAGTCTAACAATAATAATAAAAGACTAACTCACAAAGGATCACCTTCCTGCTGATGGAAGTGCTGGAAGGGCACTAAAAGGCAGCCCTTGCCCCAAAGCAGTTGTACAGGTGTAGCTGTTAAGTCCCAACCCAGCAGTACCCTCAGGCATTCAGAAAGGGCACTGCCACACTCTCTGCTGCCTGTATTGGTTTTCACTCTTCATTTGTGCACTTAGTAATGACAAGTGCTTTCGATAGCTGTGTGACTTTTTGTCCTTTCTTTTTTCTTTTTTTAAAGGCCAGATAGATACCACAGTGAATAGAAGCAATTTATCACTTCCCTGATTGTGCTTAACACTTGCATGTGGAAAGTGATGTCAGGAGGAGTGTTGGATTACTTTGCTGTATTCAGTCTTATAAAAAAAATCAGTGTCAGGATAGTTCTGTGCATTTCTCTTGCTTTCCAGTTGCCATTTGACTTAGGTTGAAACAAACCCATGTAAATACACTGCTCCATTTTTCAAACTGCTATCACCAAAAATAATTGATAAACAGAATCATAGAATCCTTAGAGTTGGAAGTGACCTTTAAAGACCATCTATGGCCCTGCAATGAACAGGGACACCACAGCTAGATTGGGTTGCTGAAAGCTCCATCCAGCCTGGTCTTGAATGTCTCCATGGATGGGCAGGGCAACCTACCTGTTCCAGTGCATCCCCAACCTCACTGTAAAAAAACTTTTTCCTTGTATCCAACCTATATCCAACCTTCCCTCCATTAGCTTGAAATACTCATATAAAAGCAGATAATTACTTCAATATGTGTGCTTGGTTTACAATATGCTTGCTGCATAAATTTAGTGGTTTATCCTGAGATGATCAGATCCACTTCTGTAAATAGGAAATTGAAACCTGTTTTGAGGAGAGTACAGACAGCGTTATATCAAGTGAATGCTTCCTGGCTAATGTTTTTTTTTAATTTCAATTAGATAAAGGAAATAGCATCTACTCTAGCTGTGATCCCTGTTGAAATCACAGGCAGTGTCTTGCTTCTGATCTCCAGGGTGCTGAAGAGTTTCCTTTGCTCTGCTCTGGAGCAGCACTAAGAGCTACAGCTCCAACAAGCACCAAGTACCTTGAATGTGCTTGCAACTCAGTTAGAAGCAAACAGTGCATAACTGCATAACTCTGCATTCTTATAATCCTTTCCCTGTATTCCCATTGGACCTTGCTTATCTGCCACTTGATGGTGTATTGCTTCGGGATATTGGATAGTAAGTTTATTTCTGTATAATGTCACTTGGATAGGAGAAAGGAAAATATGCTATCACAAGGCTGGTCTACTGGAGAAAACAGATACTGTTTTCATAGTGCAGGAGAGCCATCAGAACATCCTAGTCACATGAGAATGGGAGAAGGAATTTTACTGTTCTGTATCTCCTACCTTTAAATAGATATGATTATTTCTTTTTACTGTGGAACTTCAGCATATATAGGTAGTATCCGTAGCAATGTTCATTTTGCTTCTTTGTTCTAGAGCTGCATTTTTTCCTGCTCTTTTCAGGTGTTAAAATGTCAGCGTAACTTTTCTTATATATATTTTCTTGTGTTCTGCAGAGATGCCATTGCCAAGTTATGGTAGTTCGGGGTTTTTTTTCCTTTTTTTTTTTCCTGCATATGTAAATGAAAGCTAATCATTAGTTCCTTTGTTTTGCAACAACTTGTCATTGATGGTATTCTGCAAGAATAAACACTTCTGTATGTTCAACTGTTAAAGAGTAATCGAAGTATTTCTGTAACAAACACAGAAATACTCATGGCATCCTCACAGGGAGTATGCAGTTGTTAGACGAGGTACAGATCGCTCTTGGAATTCTAATGCTCATTAGAATTAGGAAAGAAAAAATGGGAATAAGGTGTTGGAAGAAATGTCTTTCTGGTATCTTGTATATATAATTAACTTAGGTTTTAAAAATTATATATTTATATATATGTATTTAATTTGAGAACAAGATGCCCTAAAATGTGTTAAATTTCAGTCATTGCTTTTTTCTTAGCTTCTTACGTATTTAGTGAAATTGGGGGGGGGGGGGGGGGGGAGAACTGTTTGCATTTTAAAGCAACAGATCTCTTCTGTGATAGTAATGTCATAAAATATCTTCTACCTTAATGTACTTAATGACAACTATTGTAATTAATTTTATAAGCCAAGAATAGGGGTAAGGGTAAATTTTGACAGCAACCATAGTGAATTTAGTGTTATGTTGACTTATAGCTGGGGTGGACTCAATTCTGTTAAGGAGAGATTTTGAGTCTAGAACTTGTGAACTTGATCTACTGGGGTATAAATGAACTATTAATCACGCTCCAAGAAGCTAAAAATAGGGGCTTTTTAAAAGGATTAATGTTTATAATTCCGTTTTTTAAAACATAGGCATGGTGGTAGTTGTGCTGAGTATTTGCAAACACTGGCATTTTAATCAATAGGTATCAAAACAATTCATGACTTCCAGTCGTTTTTATAAAATGGAAGAGATGACAGTCCTCTAGGACAAAGGATCACTTGAGTTTAAAGTTTTGTAGATGTTGATACATGTTGATTCTTTCGCTTGAAAGTAGAGCATGGTTCTGTTTACCATATCTTTTTATGCTATTTTTTTTTTGCTTTCTTCGTGCAAGTGATGGGTTGAAAGAGTGATAGGTTAAATGAAAGTGCAGTAGATAACAAACCACACAATACTAAGGAGCCTTCATTACGTGTTTTATTATTAACCAGCATGTCTCTCTTTTGATGTTAAACTGTGATGCTTTGAGTAGTGTTACCATACCACCTATGCACCCATAGCTTTATTGTCTTTGGTGCCAAATTAAGGCACAGAGAAGCAATATGGCTTTTTTAAGGTCAAAGACTAAGTTAAGAATTTGCCTAGATATAGCATGTTTTTATCTGATACGTTTACCACAAGATAATCTTTCAGAGCGATGGTCAGTATTAAGTAGGTAATTTTGGCATAGTCTATCTGCTGTCTCCTCTGCAAACCACAGTACTTGTCTATGAATGTTTACACGTTGATCATTCATAAACCTAGGTATGTGAGTTCTAGATATTTTGTTTTGTAGAAGGTGGTAAAGGCATACATAATAGGTAAACTTACAGACAGTTACCAGTCAGATTTTCATCCTTTCCTTCACAAAAGCATGAGGCTTTGTTGAAGACAAATTGTTAGCTATCTCTATAGTGGGATCTCTTTAGTGGGAGCTATTGGCAATAGGTGAACGGTTGGACTGGATGATCTTTTAGGTCTTTTCCAGTCTTGGTGATTCTATGATTCTATTAATCCTTGTCCATTTTTTCTTTGTAAAATAAGTACCTACAGCTGAATATTCATCCTCTTAGGAAAAAAAACAAAAAAACAAAAAAAACTTCAAAATGACCCAATCCTTATCATTTTGCCGCTTCTTCCTCCTTACTCATCTCTTAACTCAATTGAATAATTTATCAGTGTCATCTCTGTTGAGTGCTCCCTTTCCTTGCTGTAGATGCGTTAGTCTGTCCCATCTGAAAATTTTGCATCCCTTCTTGAGCACAGTCTATGACTTACTGCAGAACTTGCCAACTGTATATGCATCTATCTCATGCAAGTCTCATCATTTTCTGTGTAAGGCTAGACTGCTGTCTTCATATTTTTACGCTATTTGAAAATGTAAATGTACTTAATTTTATACAATGTCCATTTTCATATTTGACCTCATTCCAGTAAGCCTGTAAAAAGAGTTAATTCACAATAACTATAGTTGCAATTCAAATTTTGTTGTCTCAATCAAGCCCAATTTTTTTTTTTATTAGGGCTTGTAATCTCTTTTCATACCTATAATGCTTTTTCATTCCTTCACAACTGATTTTTTTTTGTCACTGTACCTGTAAATCTCTCAGCTGTTCCATGAGCATAGGTTAGAAATTGGTGTTTTGTGCACTTTATTGCCTTTTTGAATAAGACAGAGTATTTTCAGTTATGCTCAGTTGTGTATTGCCTTGGTCCTCCATTGAAATCAAGGGACTTTAAAAGCGTATGAGAAATACTCTGATTTATTTTATGAAATCTTCTTGCTAGGCACCCAAGTGTTCAGACTCTTCAGAGATAAGATAACTGAATTCTCAATGAAATAAATGATTGAGAGCTGTTTTTTTGTTGGTTTGTTTTTTTTTTTTTTAATGAAGAAAGTTTATTGCAGGTCTTTGTTTACAATTCTAGTAGAAAGTATAGCTAAGAAAGAAAATGACCTATGACCAATTGAAAAGAACGAGCAAAGGAAAAGAATAAGCTGAATACATATAATATTGAACAAAGCAGTATGGTAAAGATAAAACCTCCTCTATCCGTGACTGCAGATTAAGCATGTCTGCTTCCCAGTCCATGTTGCCAGTGCCTGCACCAGGTGAGTGGAGGGAATAGTGCTGACAGACTGCTGCTAGCTACTGATGGCGGCTGCTTGGAGTAGCTCCTGTCAGCTCTCTCTAGAACTAAAAACTGCTCTGGCCATCCTAGCTAGGTAACATGCAGCAGGCATTCTGTTTGCAGGCCCAAAGTCATTGTATTGTATCTAACAGATAGACTGACTGGAGAAGGGTGTGATATCTGTGATTAGGATAGAAAATGGCTAGAACAAAAAGGCTTCCTTGACTCTGGTCTTCATTACAAATAAATGACCAGCGCTTGTGTTTACATCCCAAGTCCCTTTATTAAAATTCAAATTAGCTAAACACTACCCTGCAGTCTGCAAGTCTGATAACAAACTTTATGCAAAAAAATGACCACCCTTTCCTGTATTTCCAGTGTTTGCCTGTCAATATTTTACAATTAGTTCCCTACTTTTTTTATTATTTTTTCATTTTTTGTGAAAATATGCCTCTTCAAGTTTGGTAGACACTTGCCTAAAAATAGAGGCATCAGAGTAGAAGGTGAATGGAACTTTTCTTTCCTTGTCTTCCTCTCCTGCTTTTCTGAGAACCCTCATCAGAACACAATGGGGCCCGCTTGTACAAGTGAGGCTGGGCAATCCTTCATCATCTCAGGTGCCTTTGCGGTTAGCTACGCATAAAGTTAGTCTACTTAGAGCCCAAGAGTGTGTGAATGCAGGAAATTAAACTAACACAGATAACTTAAAAATCATCTAACATTACCAGAATCTTTTCTCCCTACTGCTGATGGCAAAGAGCACTCAAAAAAACCACATTTACTCACTCGCTTTTGAAGTTCAGTGTCTTGTGGCAGAGCCTGCTTTGGGCTCGCCACAGGAGGGTGCAAGAAAACTGAAAACAAACTGTCATGTGAAATGAGGAGAAACCGTGGCAAGAGCACAGGGACGTTCGGGTGGATTTGGTTTAGTCAGTCCTACACACCAGGCTGCTCCCCAGCAAACTCAGGAGACGCTGAGGTGGGGAGCGTGGGGGATCTGACTGGCTCAGAAGCAGCAGGGAGTAGGGTCTCGGACCCGGCTGCGTGTGGATCAGCAGCTGCAGCAGTAATTGCAGAAGTTTTCTCCATTCCAGCTCTACCGGAGTCCTGACAGCGCTTGCTGCAGAAAATCTGACTCTCTTTATCTAGAGCTGTGTTCTAAAAACAGACAAAAAACCCAAGGCAAAAAATACAAAAAACAGCAGTTAAATCAAAGCACTGTGTTGAACTTGGGGTTAAAACAATCTACAAGACATTAAGTGCATGCGTTAGAGCCAGAAAAAAAGGAGAAATAACATTAGAAAACTTATAAAATTGTTTTTTGTTTTGAAGTGCTGGCATTGGAAAACTATCTTGAAGATACTTATTTGCTGTGGTGATCCAAATTGGCAGTTTTTTTGCAAGTCTGATGTGGAGAGAAAAATAACAAGCGATTGTGATATTGTCTGAACTCTCTTTACATTAGCAAAATGTATGTACCTGCATTTATCGAGACACAGAGAGTTAACTACATATCTTTTAATTTGAGCATAATGTGCGCTTTTGTAAAGACCAGAACTACTGGTGTGTGAAGGTAACAGCTGGAAGCTGGGGAGTCTTTCTATCTCAAGTAGAATCCCTTACTGCTTGTTTGTAAAAAGTTAACAGAATGCAGTTACAAAAATGCATCATTTCTGAAAAGTGTTGCTAAAAAATGCAAATGGGAGAAAGAGTAGCAGATCAGCCTGGAAAGTGAGAACTCTGTAGTGCATCAGGTAGATTGTCTTGGAAAATGTGGTGTGTCTGCTAAACCATACTACTTTCATATCCTCTGAAAGCTATTGCAAATTAATATTATATTACACTGTGGGGTAATGTTTCATTTCTAGTAGAATGTCTGAAGGTGAGCAAGAGGGAAATCTGGTAGTTCCTGTGTCAGAAATTTCAGAATTGTTTTCCAGGGTTTGGAGGGACAGCATAATGGGTCTTGTTTCACAGTTTGAAGGCTGATATTGATCGTTACAAATCGCTATGCTTGTTGGCTTAACCACAAGTACCAATGAGAATATAGACTTAATAGAGATTAAATTCTTTCTAGTTTATTCGGTTATGTGGAATGGTACAAGATGCACTTCCCTGGTCAAGTGCAAGTTGATTGGGCTTTCTACAGTAATTTGCAAATCTGTGATACTTGTAGTGAGAAGATAGACACAAATACGTGCTTCACCTGCATGGAAATGTCTTCCTAATTATGTACAAGCATTATAAAACACTTAAGTAGCAATTTGTTTTCAGCCAGAATGTTCTACTGTTAAAATAAATTAGGTGCTCTGTCTTTTATGTTCTTTCATTTAATTGTTCAGAAGGACTTCTGTAATGCAATGGTTTCCAAGTGTTAGTGGAAATTGTCTAAATCTTTTGGTCTGGATACTGAAATAATTTTCTGATAGGAGTTAAATATGCCATGTGTTTTTCTGCTGTAGTTTATTGCATCAAAGATACCAAGGACAAGGCAGAACCTAAGTAGTGAGCCTCTGTTCTCCTAATTAACTGTTCATGTTAAGAAGTGAAAAATCATTTCACTGTGGGCTATCAGAATTCAGATTTCTCTTTTATCTGACTTTAGTAAAGAAAGCTTGACTGGTAGCTCCAGCTTTTCAAGTACAGGTCTTCAATAGTTTGCAGGTATATGGAAGGCAGGTTGTTCTGGAATTAGTCTCACAAATTTTATTTGAAATGGAAACAATTTCTATTTCAGTAGGTTGCGTTTTAGATGTTTTTTTTTCACCTCTCTGTGTCCTTCACTGTGGTACCTTCTTCGTACAATTCCTATCTTTTCATTCATCATGCAGTTCAATGTTTTGTTAGTCTTGGCTGTTGTCTGTGTCACATTGACAAGGAAAATTTGCCAGCTGTCAGTGTGCTCCTGGGACACAGAAGGATATCCAATGTTATAACTTCATGGAGTGAACAGTAGCAGATATATACTTTTTCTAATTGCTTTCAGGTATTTTGAGATGTACACGTGCACAGAATTGCTCTCAGGGAAATGAACTGAGTGTCTGAGGAAGTGAGAAATAACTAGTTGTTATCAGTGCTAGCTTAGAAAATTTCAAATATGCCTCCCTTAATACACAAAACTTCTTTGCAAGTGTTTAAGATTTTTTTACTTTGGTGTTTCTGTGTGGCTTTAGCTCTTTTCCACTTCAGACTGGCTGAATTATTTCTCCTTTCTCCTTGTGACAGACAGAGCACATGTATTTTTTTTGTGCAGCAGAACAAAGCACTGCAGTTAGTACGTACCATTGCCTTGGACCTATTCAGAGGAAAGCAATGCAGGCATGGGGAAAGGAGGAAAAAGGAAGGAAGCAAGGGACAGAAACTAGACTTACTTAAAGCAGAACTAACACAATTGCAACAAATATTGATTAACAGAACAGTTTTAAACTGACAAAAAAAATAATCAATAATGAGTTAACAGCAGTATGCTTTTAAGGGGCAGAAAAAGTCTCCTTTTCAAGAACACTGAAGTAAGTATGTGCAGTTTTACTTATCTGCCACATGATGGTATTATCTGCATTGTCCAGGTGGCAATATTTGAATGAAGTGATGCTAAAAGGGATTCCATTAAATATGCAGGTGGACTGATCTAGCAATAGCAATGCATTGCAGTACACAGTGGTTACAATACTGTGCTTGTCCGAATGTTTTTAAGTGTTGATGTAAGTGAAGCCCAGGACTAAATTTTAATGCTCTAAATAATCCAGAGCAAGAGTAACAAACTTTAGGGCTTAATTCTCATTAAATTACACTGTTTCGAGCAGTTTATTTTCCCTTCAGCATTAACTCCAAGCTGCATTCAGAACTAAATATTTAATTGTTTCCATTTAATTGTTTTCCTTCCACAGCTGTTAGGAGGAAATAGGGCAGGAAAAAGGAGAATCAAAAGATTTAATAACATTCTTGGCTGAAGGGTTGGCAGTAGTTATAGAATTGAGGGGAAAAAACCGCACCGATAAGAAGCCAGAAGCTACACTGTGTCAGAGATCTGAGATAGGCTTAAGTCACATGCAAGTTGGAGAGGGGCTGAGAGTTAGAATTAAAATTGCTTTTATTACATATATTGCATTTTATACCAGTTTTCAGCTTCAGGCTTATCCATAGTCTCAACAGAATAAAGAATGAAGCTCTGAAGTCCCTCTCAAACTGTCAAGTCAAACTGTCAAATGAAATGCAGACAACAGCATGAACCTGAAATCCATTTTCTGACTTCTCTCATTTTTAGGTTTCTACTCTTGATACTGCCTATTTAATTCATGTAAATGTATTTGCAAAAGCATAAACATATGCACACGTTATTTAAGTTTACCTACTTTCAGATGATAAGAACAACTCTTTGGTAACGTAAGTGGGCTGTATATTCAGAATAGTTAAAGCTATCAAGGAAAAAAAACACTGGTACTTTACTATCAGTGATAATTTTGTGTTTTTTCTAGTAATGAAAGATACTATTTGTATGCAGAGCACATCCTTAAATTAGACAGCAGTGGGCCTCAAAATGGGAATGGCAGCTCAAGCTCTTGAACTGTTGCATTTTTCTATGAAAAAGTGGCCCATCAACTAGAAGCACAGTTCTGAGCACTGATAGCAGGGAACTCAACTGTGATTCTCCTACATCTACTTAACTTAAGTAGTTTCCTTTGTACGCTTTGATTAATGTTCCCTGTAAGGAGCATACATAACATACATACCTAGAGTTGCAGTGGGACAAAATTAATGTGGTAAATATTCAATACTATGAAAAGAATTTCTGAATGGGAATCTGGTTTTCCCCACAAACACAGTATTGAACAACAGTATGCTCAAGATGGAGCATTGCTTGGGCAGAATGGAGGAGCCTACTTCAGCAGCTAGCTGATCAGTATGATTAAAATTACAGCTTTTTCAATGAAGGATTTTGAGTTAATAAACTCCATTTCAATATATTACTACTTAGTGTTTACATGTATCTGAAAGCTTGTTTATGTAGCTTAGCTAGCACACCATGATAGACTTGGCTGCTCTCAAGCGACAGTAGGACAATCCATACAGTACACAACTAGAATTAGGGACTATTCCAGTTTTGCTTTTGCTGTTCTTAAACCACACATGCTCACAGAGTACTGTTAGAAAAATATGCTAAGTACAATATGAATGTATAAAAACTTTATTTCTCTTACCATGATGACAGAAACCCCAGCAGATGTATTATTTTGCTTGGGTAGGGTGTTGTTAAAGTGCTGCTTCAGTTTACCTGTTACTTCAGCTTGCATATTATTCTCTGGGGAAGTGTCATCCTGTATTAGAACAAACACAATACTGAAGGTAAGGGAAAAAAAATAAATTAATGTAACTGAGCAAAAGAGAAATGTTCCATTAACTAGAGGTACTACCTCAAAGTAACCATTCAGGTAAGAAGGCCAAAAACGAGTGCCCTCTATTACTTGAGTGATGGTTCAAACCATTTGAGACAAACTATGTAGGAAAGGAACCTATGAAGTACTCTTTTGTGTCTGACCTTCTGTTTCTTAAAATGCCATGTGAACTGCTTAACTTCAGTCCGTGAATTTGTCCCACAGCCGTGAGCAACAACTTTTACCTTTTAACTGTACATACAGCTATGCTTGGTTAAAAGTGTATTTGTCATTTGGCTTTATTTGCGTAAGCATTTTAAATGGCCCATCACATCCCCCAGATTGAGGAAACAATACAGTGCCGTAGGTATCTATGCATAACAGCTCCTCTCAAAGGTAAAATCATTACAGTTGTCTTCTCGTGTGAGAGAAATCCGTATTTTCTCTTTTAAAATGCACGTGGAAATCAGCATTGGCTATATACATGTAAACCTGGTATTTATCAGTAGAAAACTGATTTGAAATCAATAAGCAACATACTTTGGTGTTCCCCCACATGGCTGTCCAGCAGCTGTATGTCATCAGCTTAGTGCCAATGTATTTTATTTGCTAATTCTCTTGTGAAAAAATAGGCAGTTACAATTTCTTTTAAGTAGCATTGCAGCAAATGAGATGCCAATATGCAGAATAGTCCTTCCTTTCAAGTACACTTTTAAAAGATGATCTTTTGTGATATTTCACACTCAATCTAGACGATGCCCAAGTCACATCTGCTTGTCAGGTTATGTTTAAGAAGCAGAATGAAAACCTCCAGCACCTTCTAATCTCAATCAAGTGATACCCTTCACTCTGTTATGTTAGAATACGGTTGTCAACAGAGTTAGCAACAGCTGAAACTTACTTCAGGCTCTTGCTAGTCTCTTACATGTGCAAGTGGCAATAGTGTTTGAATAAACAAAAATGAGTTTAGCAGAATTGCGTTGCTGCTTCTGAGGACTACACTGTAATAGATTTATAGATGTAATGTCAAGTTAGAGATAAGTAAAATGTAATTTACTCACTGACACCCAGGGATGGCTTAAGATCTGTGCTGCTGTATATCGGGCTTCGGTATTCACATGTAGCATCAGGCTAATTAACTCCTTTGTAAAGAAAAATGAGTTATGAGAATGGGAAAGAAAACTACAGTGAAAATTTTTGCTCAAAGTTCTTTTCGGCACAACTTTCTTACTGCATGCACGTTCACTAAGTTTTCCAAAACCAAACAAAAAACAGCTCTTCCAAACATCAGCTGTAATGGTCCAGTTTGTTCTCTGTACTCATACAAGTGACCAGAACAAAACACAACTGGGACACAGTGATTCTGTATGGGCAGTACACAGTCACAGTACATAAAGAGCACAAATTAGAACTATGAAACTCGTGAAACTGTTTGAAAACCATATTCTCTTATGTATTCCTCCAGAGTAAAAGGACATTTAAATCACTTCACCAGTTTGCAATCACCTTGCATAGGAAAAAGTGTGGAAGAGTGGTTAACATTCTGTTGTCAGTGTTCTGTCCCACATTTCCAATAGAGCACAGTCTTCTCAGTGATTTGTCAGAAAAGCTCTTTAGAGTTAGAAGATGTATCAGTACCTTTGCTGAATCAGTGATATTATCCCAGTAGGGTGAAGGAAATTCCAGCTTCCCCACAAGTATCTGATCAAAAAGGTCTTCCTGAAGGTTGCTTTCACTGTGGAAACAGCAATAATGAAAGAGATGAGAATGAAATCTATCATGCGAGTTTTAAATTTGATTTTTGAAATGGAACAGAATTTGTTATATCAATTATTACAAGTGCCTACTTTGCAGGCTAATATAGCGATGGCACCTCTGAGTTCTTTGCCATAGTTATGCTGTCAGGAGTTATGCAAACTGAAAAATAATATTGAGTTGAAAGGACTTCCACTGGAATAGACTATGGAGTTAACACAAAATACAATGACAGGAATGGTGATTTAAACATAAGTCATTTGCCCAGCCAAAAGGATCTGCCACAAAAAGGCGTGTAACAGGGGAAGAATGTCAGTGAAATGAGCCTCTTCTAAGCTACTGCAACTGGATTTTGAAAGTATTTCACAGAGAGGATGGAAAACGTGCAGTAGACTGGGTACTGGCAGGCTACTGGCTGGATAATTATGTTTGTATCAAAAACATAGGGTCATAAATACTCAGAAGTCAGGGGCAGTGCTGCTTTTTATTTAAACAAACAAAAACTTATGTCGGTCTTACCTACTGTAAACATCCACTCAGCCTCTCAGTGTTAAGAAAAATCGAACCTTTTGTGTTGGTTTTTCAACAAATAATTGCTAATAATTTGGTAAGACCTAATTCTGATGGCGTGGTATGAATGCTTTGCCTCCGTGCCCCAAACTCTATTCAAAGCAGTTGTAATTTATTTTCCTTCTTCAGCAAACTATTTGTAGAAATAATGTTAAGGGATGAATTCCTTATTAAAATATGTCAATTCCTTCTCATTCTCTGACGAAAAAAATAATGAACTTCTCTCCATCATATTTGAGAAGTCGTGGCTGTCAGGTGAGGTCCCGGATGACTGGAGGAAGGGTCACGTCACTCCCATATACAAGAAGGGGAGCAGGGAGGACCCGGGGAACTACAGGCCGGTGAGTCTCACCTCCGTGCCTGGGAAGATCATGGAACAGATCCTCCTGGACAACATGCTCAATCACATAAAGAATGAGAATGTGATCCGAGACAGCCAGCACGGCTTCACCAAAGGAAGGTCATGCCTCACTAATCTTGTGGCCTTCTATGATGGAGTGACGGCATTGGTGGACGAAGGGAAGGCGACTGATGTCATTTACCTGGACCTGAGCAAGGCCTTTGACATGGTCCCCCACCACATCCTCATCTCCAAATTGGAGGGAAGTGGATTTGATGGGTGGACGACCCGATGGATAAGCAACTGGTTGAAAGGCCGCAGACAGAGGGTGGTGGTCAATGGCTCTATGTCCAGGTGGAGGCCGGTAACAAGTGGTGTCCCCCAAGGGTCTGTCTTGGGACCGGTGCTCTTTAACATCTTTATTAATGACATCGATGAGGGAATTGAGTGCACCCTCAGCAAGTTTGCTGACGACACCAAGCTGAGTGGTGCGGTTGATACGGTGGAAGGAAGGGATGCCATTCAGAGGGACCTCGACAGGCTGGAGGGCTGGGCTCGGGTGAACCTAATGAGGTTCAACACGGCAAAGTGCAAGGTTTTGCATTTGGGCCGGAAGAACCCCAGGCACCCGTACAGGCTGGGAGGAGTGGTCCTTGAGAGCAGCTCGGCAGAGAAGGACCTGGGGGTCCTGATGGACGAGAGACTGAACATGAGCCAGCAGTGCGCTCTGGCAGCTCGAAAGGCAAATGGGATCCTGGGCTCCATCAGGAGAGGGGTGGTCAGCAGGGACAGGGAGGTGATTGTCCCTCTCTACTCGGCTCTTGTGAGGCCCCATCTGGAGTACTGTGTCCAGGTGTGGAGCCCTCAGTACAAGAAAGACATTGAGATTTTGGAAAGGGTCCAGAGGAGGGCAACTAAGATGATCAGGGGGCTGGAGCACCTCCCCTATGAGGACAGGCTGAGGGAGTTGGGCTTGTTCAGCCTGGAGAAGAGAAGGCTGCGGGGTGACCTCATTGCAGCCTATCAATACCTGAAGGGAACCTACACCCACGAGGGGAGTAAACTCTTCAAAAGGGCTGACAACAGCAGGACTAGGGGAAATGGATTGAAGTTGAAGGAGGGAAGATTTAGGTTGGATGTTAGGGGGAAGTTCTATACAAGGAGAGTGGTTAGGCCCTGGAACGGGCTGCCCAGGGAGGTTGTGGATGCCCCGTCCTTGGATGTGTTTAAGGCCAGGTTGGACGGGGTCCTGGGCAACCTGATCTGAATGTGTGTGTTTGGTGGCCCTGCTAGGCAGGGGGGTTGGAACTACATGATCCTTGAGGTCCCTTCCAACCCGGGTGATTCTGTGATTCTGTGATTCTGTGAACAAAACACATCCATCTTATTTTTAGGCTTCATTCATACTGTGACATTGAGAATCACATTCACAAACCCTACCAACCATATGGAGCTTACAAAAAATGATTAACAAGATTAAAAACTCATCATAAGCAAATTCTTCCCCTGACCTCTGTGTGCCATTAACTTTCCCCTTGACGCTAAACCAGTAAGCTGCTGTGTCCAAACAGAAACACTAGAGGGCAAAGCATACACATTCGTTGAATTGGGGCCCACGTAGAAGACAAAAGGAAAATAAAGTGCTTTCACAGCGCTCTGTCCCTGAATACAGTGGCACAAGCCAGTTGCTCCCATAGAAAACTGAATATGTAAAGCTGATACCAAAGCCTGATGAGATGGACAACTGAAACCAACTTCAAAAAGCATCGGTCTAAATGTATATTTTTTCCACAGTGCCTCTTCCAGGGAGATAGATGGGGCTTACAAAATGATTTGGGTCTTCAGTATTTTTCCTTTTGACTAATAGAGATGCTCACCTGCGAAAAGGTGGAAATCCACATAACAGTATGTATGTGATCACACCTGCAGCCCAAATATCCACCTTTAAGCCGTATCTGAGGAAACAAGATTGCATTACTTGTGCTGGATTGAAAAATAACTGTTTATTGGAGTGACTTGCAAAATTACTTGAGCTGGCTGTATGTTATTTGGATACGTGGATCTTATTTAGATCCTTCAGTCTTGGAAGCCCTGGTGGCACCACTTTGATGGAACTTCCCACCTCCCCTCACCTCCATAAGCCTCAAGGCTCTCCAGGGTTTTCCAAATACACCTGCATTCAATTCAGCATCAAGGTTTCTCAATCCGGAATCCCTGATGATAGAAGACAATGAGGTGCTTTCTTAGTCCTGCAGTAACTATCTCTAACGTTATCATGTGTTGCTAAGCAACAAGAAAGATACCAATTCTCCAGTCTCCTAAACGAACAAGTAACAAAGGAATAAAGAACTGCACCTTTCTTTTTAAAGCACAGAAATTAAAATGCTAGAGGTCAGAAAGAGGTCTTTTTTTTTTCAATTTCTTTTCCTACCCAGTACCTTCAATTTGTCCAAATTTAAAACGTGCCAGTGAAGTGCACTCTGATGTTTGAGCTCATGCCAGCTATGAAATATTTCCCAATACCACAAATACAGTGAAGGATGCTTGAGTCAATCCAGCAAACCTTCTTCCATTCAGAAGACCAAATTCACAGTTAAGGCAAGAGGCAGCTAATATGGAAGGGAGATCTCTTGTCTGATAGATAGCAAGACTTACTGTAAAAATTATTTTGTGTTTGAGCAACCACTAGATAAATACAGAAAAATTCAGTTATTTAATTAAATCAAGGCAACAAACATAATGCATCACCCAGACGAGGTCCTGACCTGGACATGATCTAACTAGACCTGCTCAGAGCACAGGTTTAGACAAGCACCACAAGTGGGGGTCCTTGGGAGTTGTTAAGGAGGCATACGTGTACTCTGGGAGCAAATGGGGAAGCTGGTCTGTCTGAGGAACTGAATGATGCCTGTTTTCTCATAATTATTTTGTTTAATAACAGTTAGGAGCTACCTGCCAAAAATGACAGGTTACAAGACCTATGTCTTAGTTACTTATCCTCACCCTGTCTCTGCAATGATTTCTGGAGCCACATATGTGGGCGTACCACAGACGGTATATAAAGGTCCTTCAACCACAGTTGCCAGTCCAAAGTCTCCTAGCTTCAAAGATTTGGTTCCATCTGCATATTCACATACCTAGAATCAGCAAAATAGAAACAATGGTGAGGAGGATATTGGAATTTTTAAATTTATTATTATTATATTTTTAATAATCAGCACCACATGTAGAATGTAGAAAAAAGAGGTAACTTCCACAGCCATGTATTAAAATTGGGTTAGGTTCACAATTCTGGAATGTCTTCCAAGCTACATATTTCCATAAAACCAAGCTTCACTTGAAAGTCCAGACGTGAGTAATCTTAATTTAAAAATGAAAATTCATGCAGATAGTTTCTTGCTATTATTTACTCAGTTTCTCAACGCTCTTGTCTTTACAAGTTCCTAAAAAGCCAAAAACTCAGCATTTCTCTCACTAATATTTAGTAATTTAGTTACATGGCCATCTCTGTGGAAGTTTTAAATTTTAAATGTTAGGTTGCTGTCTAGATGCTCGCAGAGTAACTTCTTAGTGTGTCTGCTATAAAAATGTTTTAGAAAAAATACGTGCAAGGAAATTGTATTACTTTTCAGGATGCAAATAGGCTTCAGTTAAACCATGCCTTTGCATTTCTGTGAAAACACTGCATCTCCTCTGTCTTAAACGGGTGGAATCCCAGTTTCTATAAGGGCGCCTAGACTGGAACAGGAATAGGTGTGCTATGTTCACAAATAAGAGAAGATATTGGCTGAAATAGCAGTGCTGAAGTTATCCAGTGATACTTGCACTTTCTAATAAATTCTATGTATGGAGATTTCTGCTGTTTCTAATGTGTTTTCCAATTCTACGTACCTTCCAGAGAGACAGACAAAATTATGATAAGGTGCTAAAGTACTTCTTGTTACTAGCTCTACAGCGATCTCAGTAAAATAGTGTTATGTCACCTTTCCCTCCCCCATTATTATTTTGGGTTCCATTAAGTGATGTCACTTTGACCAATTAATCCTTATATATTTGCTTTTCATCATAGAATTTAGTGTAAGAATATCTGTAAGTTTGGAATATCTGTAAGGTTAGATCAGAAAACACTTGGTCAGATAGTACAGCTGGGAGCATTTGCTTTGGACAATGTCAATTGCTATAGTTTTTTCCAGCTTTTTTTGCATAACTGGAAAAAATGACCACCACACATAAAATTTGAGAAAAATGCATCTGTTCTGCTACTTTTATGTACAGCAAAACATCTGAGAAAAACGTGTGTCAGATAACAGATTTTGCCATGGAAGCAAGAGTACAGATAACCTCATTTGTATCACTCTACAGCTGTAGAAAAAAAAAAAAAAAAGAAAAGAGACAATGATATATTTGGAATCAGGCTGTCACCAGGCTGATCTTTTCTGATCCTAAGATTTCACACCTGGCAATGGTTAAATCAGTTGATTGCTTCTCAAAACCTATACGTATTTACTCCCATTTGTTGACAGACTATGCCCAAATGAGAGCAGCAGGCTATTTGAACCAAGTCTGAAATGAAACCAACAGAATTAGAAGCGGAGTGCCAACACTGTAATGAATAATCACACTCATATCCATAAACACTCATCTGCTCTTCCCCAAATAACAACTGGAGAAAAACAATTTATCTGAACAATAACATGAAACTTTCAGCTGTGGATGGTTCATGTAATTGCCGAATTACACTTTTTTCTTCTGCCTTGAGGAATGAAGAACAAGCTTGCAGTGAAATATCTGCATTCGTATCTTGTTCTGATAACAACTTAGTTCAGTGTGGTTTGTTACCCGATGGTGCTGCTCTCTCCACCTGCTTACTTTCCACCACACAGTGGACCAAATGAGTGTGAATGAATGAATACTTGTTCACCACAACCAGAAAAGATTAATAAAAGTAACATTAGATCTCAAACATGACATTTCTACAGAAGTAGCCAAGTCCACCAACTACCTATGCCTTCCAAAAAGGTACCCTGAAATAAATCAAACATCAAGCTTGAGGATAAAGACACAGGTAATAGCCCTTAAAATAACTGTATATGGCCACACAGCTTGCTCTGAATGAGGTGCAGTACTGTCAGATCAGCACAGCAGCAGTGATAGTTATACGCACAGTTTGTTCCAGCGCACAGCAACAGATTAGTTCTTTGTTACACCATAGCTATTCTGACTGTTAAATTATGGATTGGGGTTAAGTTTCTGGTTGCTTGCTCTAGGGAAAGAGGAGAAAAATGGCATGGCAATTTCTTGCCACAGTGCAGCTGGAGCTAGTGTTCAACTGAGCTGTCTGGCAGCTATGTAGGTCAGCCCATTATATAGCCTTAAGCATGTTCAGCAGGGAGAAAACCAAGCCTAGAATGCTGATAAGTTTTAAATATATTTTAAAAATGTAATAACGTATTTGTAATTGATGGGGACCTAGAGATTGGCAGCTACCATCAGATTGGTTTACAATCTCTCGCTGGCCAAATATTTCTTAGGAAATGTCTTTCTAAGCTTAGTCTTGCTGTTGCAGTCACACTAGGAAAGTTCAGTAATAAGAAACCTGACTGAGAAGTATTTAGATTTCTGTGCAGACCCAAATGCACCTGACTCAAAAGCCCCATAGATCATCTTGTTCTGAGTTATTTTGCTGCAGAAAGGAAGGTAGCTTATAATCGACAGAAAAACATTATATGACAGCGATAACAAGAAAAAAAACAAAAACTGGATTAATAGTAAAGGGAACTATAAGGACACATCCCATATAAATTAATATTGTTTTGTTTCCTTGAAGTGATGTTGTTATGTTGTTATCATGATTTCAGTGGAAGCTAGGACATAGGACTCTAGCATCTCTAGAGTGGTGGAAATAGTTTGGTTTTTTTTTCAAATAATTGGTAGCAAGGCCTTTCTTCCTTTCTCTGTATAATTCGTATCATTAATGGAAACATTTTTCTCCTTGATAAACACATACAAACTATAAGACTAATAGCATATATTTTTGAGTGCATGACTGGTAAAGAGGATGTAATTCAAGAGAGCTGGATGAACTTGTGCAAAAGAACCAACTACTTCCAAGAACAGGTAGCAACTGATGGGAATTATTTGCATTTGCATTCCATACCAATTAGCTGTCTTAGCATACTGGTATTGTCAATCACTGTGAATAGGACTTGCATCTGTTGAGTAATCTCTTCAGGCTTTCTAGGCAGAAAGGACATTTGTGTCTTTTTATAATTGATTCAAATACCAATGAGAGCTTAAAATGAATTTAGATTGATTATATTTGAGGAAGTGCTGATAATTAAGTGATAAATTTTCTCTTTTAAGTGCTGGGTTGCTATGACTATGTTTTCCGGGAGCAGCTTCCTCCCCTCTTCTTTTTGATACACAATCTAATTGATTTGTGGGTTTATGTCAGTTGCTGAAAACTGCCAGTAGAATTTGGTTGGTAAAGAATTAACTATTAATTAGAATTCAGCTTATAATCCCATCCTTGTAATAAATCAAAATCTATTTTGTGAAAAGCCAGGATTCCTTAATAAACAGGATGGACAAGTATCACAAAAGGCTTTAAGAAATGACCATCAAATGTTAATAAAAGCTCCTTTCATTCCTGATGACAGTGACTCAGGTATTGAAGGTTATGGTCCTGCTTGTTCATTGCATCACACCTAATATCTAACAAGCAGTACATAATTCTTATGTGTCACCTCTGTGTAAGCAAGGCAGCACACTGCTCCCATTCTGTGCACTGTTCTCTAAGCAGTTCTCAGAACAGACTTTGTGGTCATGCTTTTCAACAGACTCAGTTACTTTATACCTCTGCTGAGAACAAAATGTCATCAGTCACCCATGACAAAATAAATGTATGTACGGAGCTCATTCATGGTTAGAATACTGGTAAGTCATTAGAAAGATGTTCATTCCTGCTATGACAGTAAAATTTAAAAAAAGCTTTAGATCACCATGTGATCTCTGGAAGAAGTGGCTCTCAGCCCATCTATCCCCCACTTACAAAATGTAATAAATAATTCATCAACACAGCTTTAAAATTCATTGTTTGGTGAGACCATATTCCTACTTGTCCAAATGGCAGCCAATCAAAATGTAAATAAAGATAGGTCTAAGGACATGTTTGAGTATAGCTCATTTGGGTTACAGTGATTGCTATCTCATGGTAGAAGATTAATTTTATACGTACATATTCCAAATTAACATTCCTTCTGTTCCCTGCTCAGCTTTTTGACTTTTACGTACAAGCATTTGCATTAATGAGAAGGAAGTAAGAAAGAAAATATTAGAAAATAAATGAAACGTACCAGGAGATTTTCTGGCTTGATGTCTCTGTGTACAATGTTGAGACCATGAAGGTACTTGAGTGCGCTGGCCAGATTGTAGACCATTGCACTCCCATCTCGCTCTGTGTATTTTGTAGAAGAAGTGATAGCATCAAATAGATCTCCTCCCTAGAGTAAGGAAAGATAATAGGTCAGTCCAGGAAAAACAATAAAGATAATTTGTAACATACCATGTAAAATCTTGCACAAAAAGCATGCTCAGAAGCACGTTAAAATGTTAAAACAAATAAACAAACACAACAGATGAAAGCTCCAGAAACATAAAACTTCTCACCAAGATTGTAGAATGGGAACTTGGGTCATTTACAGATCACAGTCCTTTTTTGGACTTGATTTCATTTGATTGACTGCTCATATGCATGATATACAGAGATACCTCCATACAGTTTCTATTTTCTTCATCTTACCAGCTTAATTCTTTCTCTGATTTTGAGTAAAGCCTAAAGAAAATCCAGCCAACAGCAAAAAGCCTAAGATACCACGTTTTGCAATTGTAATGAACTGCAAAGTAGAAATGTTGCAGATATTGTGAAAATGTCAAGTTATTACAGCTGAACAGGATGAGTTTGAAGTGCAGAACTTACAGGTGATTTCAGAGTAGGCCTGTTGTGTAGTCTGATTAGGATACCCTCTTTATCTTGGGATACATAACAACATGTAAATGAGTTTCTGGTGCAGCATTTCCAATCATTGCCATGAATTTTATGTGGGTGTCTCTATGATGGTTACCCTGGTTACATCTGTAGGAGTGATTTATCTGAGCTGTGGGTGGCATTCCAAGCATTTCAATATGTGTGGAGAAGAAGCAGCAATTCAGGAATTGCGTGCTAAGCTGGTGGAATATTAAAATATTAATAAAATACTTTCTTAAAAACAGAAAAACTTCTCATTTAAAAATAACTTTTAGAATGGGAGATAAATGGGTAGGTTACAAAAATTCTGACTTGAACAACTAGGCTTTCTTCAGTTTCCCAAGCCGGCAACAGCTCTAGAGGTAGTTACAGGATCAACGTTTCAGGCAGGAAAAAAAGTGATGAGTTGCACTCCTCTGACAGGCTGATCAAGCCAATGGGCAGTGTTGCAGTGGGTGTACAGAACACAGGTAAGTGAGAGTGCAGAAATAAAACTCCATCAAACTAGTATCTTACATTCACAAGGTGACAGTAAAATGGAATTAGAGATATTTTTTCTCTGTATGTGTACAATAGTGTACGTGTACAAACACCATCAAGTTTTTGGACAACTGGAAATAAAGTGAAGGAATGCTTCATACGAGGAAGAGAAGTGAAAGTTTTTAATTTTGATGGAACACAATCAGTGAAGTCTGGACTACTTGTATCTATGATTTTCTAAGATAAATTGAGTTTTTCCCTTTAAGGCAAATAATTAAATATAGTGGTGAAATAAATGCAAATTTTCCATTACTGTATGCATATCACAGGTACCCTCTGCATGTTGTAAATGATATAAAACCTCCACCCACTTCTCTCTAGGCTGCGTACATAGTTAGCAAGATTACCTCAAATCTGTGGGTCTAATAGTCTAATTACAACAGAAGAGATGTAAATGCCACTAATGGAACTGATTGATAAGACTATTTGCATGATTAATAATGGAGATTGCCATTGAAATCTTATCTGATTATGTCTCCTAGACATTATATCATTGGCTGACATAGAGAACTGTTCTTTTTTAAAAAAATCTCCTTCGTCTTACCTTGACCAGCTCCATCACCAGATAGAGTTCTGTTGGAGTGTCCATTTCCTCTATCAGCATAATGATATTTGGATGCTTCACTCGACGTAGAATAGACACTTCATTTTCAATCAGGTGTTCCTGTCAGTAAAGGGTACACAGGTATACATGAATAGAGATAAAGTGGCCCATTCAGTTATCCTTTGGTCAGCTCTTCAGGGAGCACCCATTTTTCTATTTATTTCACTTCTGTAGTAAAGCCTACTGTCAGATGCTGGATTTTAACTTGTATTTCAGCCCAGTTGTACTTCATCGGTGACCAGAAATTTTATTCAACATATTTCAAAGACATAACCCACGGGTTATCTCTAAAAAAGACCCCAGAATAAGACAGCAATTCAGAAAGTGCAGGTTGTATTTCTTATGTGGATATTAACAGGTTGAGAACCTCTGGACTTGGATCTTTGTAAGCTGCCACCTCCCAGCAACAGCTAACGTGTTCTTGATCCTCTCCAGCCTTCACTTCTCATTTAGTGAACAATATTCAAGGACAGATTGCCTAGGATTTATTTTTCAAGGACTTGCACTTTAAAAAAGGACATGGATTGTACATAGGAAAATGATAACTGCTTTGGTTATGGATTTCAGTTTATTTTACATGCATCTTTAGATACACAATTTGCAAAATATGTACCAGCTCAGTCAACTCGCTGTGGCTCCAAACAGCTGAACAGTGCACAGATTAATTTATCCTTCTAATTTATCCACATTTAATTTATCCTTCTATATATTTCTGAGAAAGTAATGGGTTTACAGAACAATTAGTTTCAGAATGTTTGGCTTTCCAGAATTTCTTAGCATCTGGTTAATGCTATTGAGTGAAGAAAATTGCATACAATTGCATGCATATTCTTCCACTGGAATAATGATTGGCATTTGCCTTTATAAATATTGGAATACAGTAGTCGTATTTAAATTCCCTGTAAAATAAGTAACACTGCCTGCCTAAAACATAAGTTTCCTTTCCTCTGGCAGGTAAGACCTCATCTCACCGGAGTCTGAACTTAATCATGTTTAATGCACTGATTAGCAGCATGCAGTTCATGCATTTGTGAGCAGAGCACGAGAAGTAGATGTGACCCACTGTGCATAAGCAGTGATTAAAGATCTTATGCTACTTTAGCTTCTATTTTCAGGTTTACTTATGGATGTGTTGTGTTTTTGCAAAGCTTTAAGTGGCTGTGTAACTCAGAAACCACATGCCCTGTGTGCATCTCATTTTGTGAGTGTGGTGTGGCATATACGGGTTCAGCAGTCACACCTTTGAGATTCAATTTGAAAGAGCATCAATTGTCATTCTGAACAAACATATGTCTGCTCCAAGCAAAGGTGCTCTGGAGGAAGAAAACAAATAAACATGAAGCAATTTTGTTAAACACAATGCTCAATCTCATCAACAGACAAAAGTGAACAGCCACAGCATATTAAGCCTTATGGATGGAAGCCTGTAAATTCAAAACTAGTGTTAGTTTTCTACCCAAAGAACAAATAACGTATATTCAATTTATTATATCCAATAATTCTCACTGAGACACAATGGTTTTTACCTATGCTTTCTTTACTTAGTTTGACTAAATCGTTACATCGTAATAATCATTAAATCCTTTCGTTTAAACAAAACCCAGGCAGAAATTATTTTAATCTAAAACTAGTGACAATAGCTAATGCTCATTTTAAAAAGGGGTTCCAAAACATTGGTGAGCTGTTGCTTTGATACTCATTTTCAAAGCATTGGCTAGTGTATAGTCAGTTGGTTTCAGTCACTTCTCTGTTTTTTCTATATTTTGTCATTAAAAAAAAGCTTTCCAACTTTTATTTTTTTTTCCAGTGTTTTCCTTTTTAGCACAATATAGATTTCAGTCTACATTCATAGGAATTATTTGAAGAGTATAATTGGTATTTAGGTTAATTGTAGAAAATGCTTTAGTCAATCGAAGAAAAACCGGTAGCGAGCAGTAGGCAACATACAAATCACACATATTTGGTCCAGATAGTTGTTTTTAACACAGGACTTATCTTGGCAAGGAGAGTGGGTGAAGAACTAACTTGTAGCAAGATTTAAATATTTACTTTGTTAAGTATGGTCTTTGCTTGCACATACACGTACATCTGGACACAGATCCCTTCAAAACATACAAGTGGTTATTTTTTTTCCTCCTGTTTTTGTTCATTTGTTTTAAAGCAGCAAGCATGATAAGTAGAAAATATGTCTGAACTCTACTGTACAGAATGGTCTCTGGTCTATTCCAATTTATGGCGCTTAAGAGCTGACAACATGTAATAGAAACATCTGAAGTTGAAAGCATTAAAAAATAAAAAATACTTCTTTTTCAGAAAAACACACTGGTTCAACTTTCCTACAGCCAAAGAAATTTCTACATTTTAATCTCAGAAAGGCAATTTTTGTACTGTTTTTCTTGAGGTTATACATTTTTAAGATTCCTTTCTAAATTCTCCGTTAAATAAACCTAGGGATATGAGATAAAGTAACGGGGAAGGAACATTCATCTCCTTACACAACTTAAAATCTGCATGAATAGACCATTTCTGACAGAGATCCTCTACTTCAGAGCAAGTCATCACAGCAGGTAGGGTGGCAGTGCAGAGCAGTTTGTACAGCTCCTTACTATACAAAGAACATCATGTGGACTTTCGGCATCTTCCTACAAGGTCACTCCTATCAGTTACAACTCTGAATATTACTCTGCAGAGCAGTTACTCTATGCAATTGATAAAAAGTGATTAAAACCCTAACTTAGTTGCGAAGATAACTCCAGAATCATTTCATTGTGATCGTTTACTTAGAAAATTGGATATTTGCATCAAAATAAAAGACTGCCCTTTTAGTTACACTTGAAAGAATGGCATTTATTTCCTATCTCAGAGTCTTTAAAACAAAACTTGACTGCTGTTTAATACTGTGCCTTCCGTGTTGCTGTTGCAACAATAAACTCTGATCCATTTGAGTCATAAGTTCCTCAAGAGCCCTTTGTTTTTAAGGTCTTGCAAAGCAGTAAAATAGAAGTCTTATTTTTTGTTCCAACATTTAGTCTCCATTTCTGACTATGTTTTACCTATAGATTTGTTAGGTTTTTTTTCCCTCGTTTTTAAAAGTCTGTACTTGGGAGGAAGTCTGTGACACTCTAGGATTCCTGCTTCTCTTACATAACATGCTATTCTGTTGCAGGCTTTTTTTTTTTCTTTTTTTTTTTATGTATTAGAAATAAAGTGTATAGAACTCTCTTGTTAAGAGATCTTTGTTCTACAAGATATTTAACTACATACACAGAAAAAAATGGTTGATGAAATTTCTTCCGAAATCCATGCTCTGTATATAAAAGGGGTGTGTACAGCCATAAAAAGGGACACGAGATAGAGAGGGAAGGGAAAACAGGAAATTTCCTCTCTTGTATTTTACAAATCAAAATAACTAGGCTATGTTTGGTCTGATTTCATTTTGGACAAGCGCTGGTGTTTGTTAGTTCAGTAAAAATGACAACTGGTTTTTTACTCCACAATCTAGCACACTAACGCTCACAACTTTTATTATTTGTTTCTTGAAAGGAATATCACCTTGTAAAACAGATATTCTGAAAACAGTCAGAAACCCAAACACACCCCCCATTTATGACTAATGAGCAGCTGCTCATGCTGCTGCTGCTGTTTTTCTTAAACATGTAAATTGTCGCACACTACCTTTCCGCAGCATTTAGCCTTGTCTATAATCTTCAGTGCAAACTCCTTTCCTGTGGATCTAGTGAGAAAAATATGAAAATGTTAATCAGAAATCAGTCAGCATTATGTAGCATTATCTATAAAAATATACATAGTGGAATGCCTTCACCCATGGAGGCTGCTGAGAAAAAACGCACAGAACAGACTTCATTTTGTTTTTCATTTTCTCAGCAACATTTGTGCCCGCTGTTTCCCTGACTACCACAGCCCTATTCACTTACTGTGTTATTCCTAGGCTCCAGCTGCAACTCATTCTTCTGTGACCTAGCACAACTCCCTCTCACCTCTTTACTGCAATGAGCAGAATTTGTCTTGGGCTCTCCACTTTGCTTTGTTCAACTGGTAGGCTTTAAAGATAAAATCATCCTCATTTATGATGTAAGTGAGGAGAGAAAAAAGTGTGATTGCCTCATGGAAAAAAAAAATGGTAGGATTCAGTAGAGCTAAGACCCTGTGTTTCATGATATAGTAGTCCAAAATCCTGCTGAATTTATTAGGAGATAATTTTGTATTTCATTCATTCTTTTTTTCTTTTTTTTTTTCATCCCCATGAGTGTATGGAACTTTATAGCTATCATCTATAGTGCCATGGCATTTTAGAGTGTGGTTATATCCAAAGTAAAAAGGGTGACTATTTTTGTAGATATTCTCCCCAAAAGAAGGAGCTCTATTTTGCTTTTCATCCCTCTAAGCAATAATAAAAATCTTCTACCTTTATTCAGAAGGGGAAAAAATGAAAGAAAAATGCAATACAAATAAATTACCTTCTTTTTTTTTTCCTTTAATCAAAGATCACATTACTAATTATAGTAAGGAGGAGTTAAAAACCAAAACAAAGTGTCATAAAATCTTATTGCTACTATCCCATTTTTGTGTTAGTACCTAGTGTTACGTGTGCCTCAGAACACCACATGTAATGGTGTTCTGCATATATAATAAAATCATTGCAGGCAATTACAAAAGAAAAAATTAGGTACATTATTAAGTTAACAAGTTAATTCTCACTACACTTTTGCATTATATACAGCAAATCAAAATTGCTGCCTTACAAAAAAGGAACTGAGTTAACATTTCACATTCAAATGATCCATTATTTAAAAAACGCAGCAGAGAATCTCTGCTCTCAAAGTGCAGCTGTATCTGCTAGGTTGTCATAGTTACAACCTGATCCAGTCTTTAGAAAGAAGTGTTATCTAAATGGTATCTGTGAAATGCTATCCTCTTATGAACAGACACAGAATCTACTATGAACACAAAGCATAATTCAAAGCACAATTTATGTTATTCTAAATTAAGTGCATTATCTGAAAGTCTGCAAATAACTGATCAGCACAACCCACTTAGGAAACCTTCAGCATTTGTGCAGTGTTGAACGAGGAGCTAACATTTGTAAAGCCAGTTCATGAGGCAACTTCAAATCCCTCCTGCAAATGCTATAGTATAGTACCTACGAAAATACAAGGGATAGCAGACGCAGTTTGTGTGTTGATATCACTGCCTATCATATTGACCAGTATTGTCTGACAGGTTGCTGGCATTCTTCTGTCTAGCTGTCAGTATCCATCTGTTGACTCATGTCTTCATATATATAGACATATAGGCACCCTTTGAAAAGGAGACCATTTTATTTTGTGGAACAGCTGATGTAACGGCTTCCTGGCTCCACACCCAAAGTGTTCATACATGACATGATGAGAAATTAAGTATAATAATTACTAGAAATTAAATGAAAAGCATTTATAGTTGGTATTTCCTCTCTCCTTATTATCAGCAACCATTGCATTTTTTTTTTTTTTTTTTTTGTAAAATTCATTTAATAATGCTTTACTAAATCTAAAGATGGAATTGAGCTTAAATTTGACTTTTTATTTTTATTTTCTTAATGTGAAGGTTGTTTTTCTAGCCCAGTCCCCTCATCCCAAAAAACACAGATGACATTTACAAACCAAAGTGACATAGTAGCCCTTTTCCCATTTTCAGTGGAAATCATGCCGTTTCCAAAATGCGTAGTAGTCATTTCTAAAAATATTAAATTATGCAATCTTACGAGTTTAACCTTCTTTCTTTTATGAACTTTATTTGCTCCACAACTTAACAAAGGATTTGTGGCCAGCTTTAGAGCATGTGGGAGGACACTGTGAAGCATAATTCATTTAGTTTCTCTCAAGCCTCTTATGTGTGGCTTCTTGCAGAACAAAATGGACTTTAAATTCTTTTTTCAGCACACCTGGCTTTATTGCCTTCTTATAATTTTTGTAACGAACCTGCAGTGTTTAAAGCGCTAGGGCACTAAGCACTGTAATGTGGTACTGCTTGTCAGGAACACAGTTTCCTGGTGGAAACATCAAGCCCATGGAGTCTGGATATTAACACTGATAGAAGCATTATCTAATCCCTGCACTTGCAACACGAAGTTATTCAGAGTGTACTCATCACTCAGCCATTTTTTATTTTTCCTGTATCAATATTGTAATCAGATTGCATCTCTAGAAGCTGTCACCTAAGTCTTTATTCGTTAATTTATAAAATTTATAAACCTGGTTGCTAGTATGTCATCAAGTATTAACAATAATGATCATTCTTATCTGCTATAAATCAAAAGAGAGTACTAGATGTATTGCATATTACCTACCAATACTACTTTCAGAAAAGAAAGAACACAGATACAGTATCAAGGAACCTTTCTCTTGAGGGGAAAAAAAGGGGTGCATAAAGGCAGGGATTATAATTTATACATATCTGTTCAGCATGTTCAGCCTCACTGCACAACCCTTTTGGGTCATTTGTGTGACTTAGCAAGAATGCCAGTGTGTGAATATATGATCTGCTAAGATTGGAATGAGATGTTCTTGTTCAAAATGATGTTTATTTAAAGTAAACCAGCAGATGTGGATCAAATATATTGATAACTGCTATGGATTTTATAGAATTTGCTCAGTGCTTATAGTCAAGTTGGAGATTCTTCTTAATGTTTAAGAAGCTGACATAATTCTCAGATTGATAAAGAAGGTGGTTCTAAGACATAAACTGAGAAAGTGACAGTCAAATCATCTGTTCTGCTTACAACAGCAGCAAAGCATGACACAAAGCTTGCAGAGAATGAGCAGTAATACAGCACAGGTCTGTAAAGGTGTCCTGCTTACCCTCAGGGAAGTTGGGCACAAGAATATTTCAGAGTCTGGAATATTAAAAGGTTGACTTAGGGTCTTTGGCTCCACACTGTGCTACCCCACTGAACAAGCAAGCAGAAGGGAGCCAATCACACAGGCTATCTGCTGCTAACTGTATGCTTTTAAGAATACTTTGTTCACAGTATACCAAAAGCTGTGAAGAATGATGTCAGCAGCAAGCAGTAGGATCTCGTAGCAGCAAAATTGCTGAGGCTTCCTGTAAGACTGTGTCTTAGGTGCCACAAAAAATCTTCTATCATTTCCAACAGTTTCATGTGGTGTAAACGGGTTTCTTGAAGGTCTGTAGTGTTTCCCTAAGAGCCTCCATTAAGAGGTGATATCTCTTTCAGCTTTGGGGATTAAAAAGCTACACTGCTCTGCTGTTCTCACATGCCTTTGGTGGAATAACACATAGGAAGCTCTGCGTATTTTCCTTTGTCTAGTTCTCCTGAAGTGTATGCATTTCTTTGTAACTGCCCTTTGCTTTCATCTCATCACATTTCCTATGCAATCGTGCTAATGCACAGGGGTTCTATCCAGTAAAATAAGTTGTCACTACTGAACGTTCTCCTTGCTCACCGTTCTATGCACTCCTTCACAACAGCAAAATTACCATCACCAATCACCTTTCCGACTTTATACTTCTCAAGAATGGTGGATGACCCTGAGCACTTGTTTCCATTCACACCTGCAGAAAAGCAAGGTCAGTAACACAAAGTGAAGAGAGGTGTCAGCAGGGTGTAATATATTCCCCATAGGTAGATACAGAATTAAAACAGTCACAGATACAAAACGCAAGTGTAAGCTGTTTTCCTCTCTGCTTATTCCCTTATTTTTAATCTCAAACGTAAGAATGAACAGCATAAGGCAGAGTTGTTTGACCTTTCTTGCATGTAAGTCAACTATTACCTTTAGGGTGTATGTATTGTAAAAGTGAGAAATGCAGTTAGAATGCTTTCTGAACTCAAAATACTTTTTCTGAAGTGTCTTCACTGTTTTTGAATATATGAAAGATTCATCAACAGTACATGTAAAAACCACAACAGCAAGTAAAAATGCATATTTTCTTTATATGATAAAAGGCAGCATCCAGTCCAATTGCTTCAAGTTTTTGTTTGTTGTTTGTTCTTTTAGCCTAAACCAGGTTATGCCATTGTCATATCTAGCCTTGTTCAAAATCTTCATTGATTACCTAGATGAAGGGATACAATTCACCCACCCAGTAAGTTTGCTGATGATACAAATCTGGGAGCAGTGACTGACAAACCAGCAGGCTAACATCTAACATTTCTAAACCAATTTTTATTTACAGCAAAATTTTTGCAAGGGCGCTTAGTAATTGTTGGTGACCTACCTTCAGGACTCTGGCAATGGAGTGATTCAGGTACACCATTCACATTGGACGATGATCCACCATGAGGAGGGATCTATGAAAGCAAGTAAGATCTTCTTATTTATCATGATAAAGAAACTGCAAGGAGGAGTCAGGAAGAAATGTAGAGAAAACAACAGAAAATTTACAAAAAAGCTCTAAATTAAACACCTCTACAGCGTCAGTTTGCTTTTCCACTCTCATTTTATTTTTACTCTTGCTTTCTCACAGCTCATCTTTCTTAACATGAAACACTGTTTTTCACCAAACTTAAGACACAAGCTTGATATTCCTCTTTATAGAAGTAGTTGAACACGTTTTAGCAAAACTGCTAGCAGCAAAGAAAATGCTCTCCCACTGCACAAACATTCTCTCTTCATTCTATGGAATAAGATAGCTGCAATACACTCTGCATGCTGGGTAACATGTCTGTTCATGTCAGCTAGAGATTCAAACCCAGATAGAGCCACCTCTCGACACCTATCCAGCGGTCTTCTTCTAACACATCTACTTCACAGCTGGCACTGCCAGAGGTTTCCCCAGCTGAGCTCTATCAGTCTGTGCCCTCTTCCGATTAGCACTGAAGCATGCTAAGAAGGTAATGTGGAAATGCTCTCATGACTCTACTAGTTCACATTTAAACAACATAATTTTGTCTTAGGGTGCCTAGAACCTCTATGATAGCCAGATTTGCTTGGAAGTTTAAAAGTTTGTACTTTAGGTTATTATGGATGTCAAGACTGAGGATCTCCACTAACAGTACAGGTTAGATGTCTTTGCAAAAACAATCATCTAACTGGTTTTGAAGGATGATGTGTGATGAAAACAGCTTTTGCTGCACTAAAATCTTAACTGGTAACTTGATCTGAACCCTTGCAGTTCCACTCGAAGTTGTCCTGCCATAATGAGCAATCAACTTTTATTTAAAAATGGGGTGGTGTACAAACAAATGCAGTGAACAGTAAAAGGTACTGATCTGTTCTACGTGCTGCTGTTTTTTATAACTTCTCCCACTACAGTTAAATGTAGTTTAATAATTCAGTAAGTAGTATTAAGTATAAAATAAAATAAACATAAAATTATTACATCATCCCATTCTATGTAGTATTTCTTGCTGTTCTGTGAATTTCCAATACCTTGTTTTCTTCGTGGGCTATTACAATAGTTCTCACTGCTCACCACATCAAGGATTAAAATGCTTCCCTGCCTTAAGCTCAGTGTCTGTTGAAATGGCTTTGCATGACACCAGGAATCCAAATGCAGCATTTTCCATTTAGCTGACATTGTCTGGTTACACTGCAGAATATTTTAAATCATTAACACTATTGTCAACGAAAAAACTGAACTGACAGATAGGGATATTGTCTAAAGGCTCATGAAATGCTAATGAATGCTTAAGTTTCTAGTGACAGCTGAGCTGCCAGATCAGCTAAAGGTAGGGTAGCTGTACAACTGTACAGCTGTACAAGTTAATTTTGCAGAGTCTCTGTTGTTTACCAGCATTTGGCATAGCAGTAGCATCAAACAGCAACCAGGCAGCTACTACTACTAGTCATTGCTAATAACCTAAAATGAGACTGTGTTAATGTAACAGTCTTTCTGAGCTATTTGTTTAACAACAATAGGACAACAAGGACACTTAGTTTAAATGACACTGATGCAAAATCATGAGTCAGTCTCCTATCCCATCAGTCACATCTTCAGGTATGAAACAGGGGTAACAGAAGAGATCCCTGCAAAATATTAGACATGAGTCACACTAAAACATCAGTAATCCATTTGGGCTTTTGAATGAGTGAAAATACAAATGAATATCTAGCTCACATTTCCACCTTCCTTCATCCTTATAATCAGGTCAGAGCATGACTAGGCACATAACTTCTTACCACTGTATTTACAAGAAGGAAACAGATAGGAGCAGGAAAATAGCTAAGACACAAAAAGCTAAGACAATAGGAAAAGGAAAAATTCTAATGTTGCTGTTCTAGCTGAGATGATTGATCAGAACCTGAAACAGCAACTTAACGTTATATCTGCCAATAATTATTTACCTCATGGCTCTAGAGACGAGGTCTAACCCACTTTAGCTGTATTTTGGGAGCTGGGTCTACTGGTCTCGGTTCCTCCTTGGCAAAACCAGTCTAGTCTTTCCCTACTGTGTCAGAGTAGACATAAACTCTCCAGCTGTCTATGATGTACTTGATTAGACAGAAAAGGTGGGAAAGAGATGTGAGTTAATAGCAAGTGACTCATGGCTAAGTAACAATTATTAATAAGATATTTTCTAATCATTAAGCTACACAGTGATTTGTGGTATTTTGAGTATCTTGCACGATTGATATCCCTAGTTCACTAGTCATGGCTGGATTTGCACAGAGAAGAGAAAAGGATGCACACTGATACACTACTGAATACAGATGGAATCTATGATCACCGTGCAGATTAAACTTTGCAACAACTCCTCCTCCTGTGTTCTAGTCTACACTGTAAGCACCTTCAGTACTGCTCCCCTTACACTGTGCACAGGACATACATCCACCTTCTCTCTCATATGCAAGTCATAGAAAACTCAGACCCAAGGCAATATTATTACCTCATTGTATGACACCTCTTTCTACCATATAACAGCCAAATAATCAAAGTAGGATTTTTTTTTTCTTTTTTCTTTCAACATCTGAAGTATCCAGGAAAAAAAAAATCAATTGAAAATCACAAAAGCTTTTAAATCATCACAGAATTCAAGAGATGAAGTAAAATGAGTATGCAAGTATAAGGTGATGGGTAAGTAGGGAGGGACTGGCCAGGGTCCCTGAAGATCTGTTTCAGAGCCTGAGTCTATGATTTGGGAGATAAAAAAACAGCAGCTTGTCAGTCTTCATTTCAGTTAATGCTACTCACCCAGTACATAAGACTTTTAAATGTCTTTTGAGTCAAAATGCTACCATACCTCAGAAAAATTGTGTTTATATAAAAAGATGGAAAAAGTAAGAAGGTAATCTGAGATAAGTGTACATCTGGTGGGATTTTATTTTTCATCCAACGAGAGTCTCAGGAAGGATCCACAGATTGAATTTCACATTCTACTGAAGTAGAATGGTACCTTAATTGACTAACCTTTGCACTTAGGTTAGATAAACTGTCCATGATACAAATGTTTGTAGAAATGTTTTGGTGTTGGTTTTTTTTTCCCCCACATTCAATAAGTAACTTCTTGGTAGCCATATGGGATAGTGCCTTCTAGAGCTTTTTTTTTTTTTTTTCTGCAGTGTTACTGCTTCCCACCTAAAGGTGTCTTTGTGTCTGTTTCACTTGTCAGAAGACTTCTGTCACCGAATTGCCTGGTCTGGTGTACATGGCTGTACGTGTACGTAAGTGCTTTATTACAATGCTCAGTACTAACAAATCTCTAAGATAAAAACAATATAAATACATTTTGTTGCACTGCTCTGGTAACACTGAAGAACCATGCAAAGATTTACTGTTTCTCCTAAAGAGATTCTGAGTTTCACCATATTATGTAAAGCTTTCAGAGAACCCAAGGCAGAGATAACATAGAGTTGAATACATTGGTTTTCTTCCCATCACCGAATAGCCAAGTCTTTTTATCTACTCTATGAACAAGAAAGAAACTTAATTGTAGATTTACCAAAAGCAACACTTAAAGAACTCCTCTCAGAACTGCTGTTGCCTAGGCTGGATAATTCCTTGCATATATCCCTAATATGCCATTGCTAACAGGCAAACGTGCATACAATACTAATTATTACTGCCTTGATGGAGATAGGTACTGATCTCTCAAATCACTTAAGCACATGTTTAACTTTAAGTAAATTAACTGTCCCATTGAAGTAAAAGGGACTAATCAATAGCTTAAAATTAAGCAAGTGCTTAACTTAATTGCTGGATTGGGTGTTAATGCCCTTTCTCTTCGATCATTTGCTCAGTAAGTCAAAAAAGTAACATAAGACAAATTCAAACACTACTGCTTAGCATAATTGCAATTCTAAGAAATGCCTCATCTGCAAAGTATAATTTTATTAAGGAAAAAAAAAAAAAAAAGAAGGTAAGACTTCAGAGTACTTGATTCCAGTAAGAGACAACAAAACACACCCAAGTAAGGATATTACAACACTACTGTTCAAAATCTCATACATACTATAGTCTCTGATGATTTTTATGATACATGTCATGCTTAGTAACACATGTACCAGGTGAGCTAGGAGTCAAAGAACCCTTTTTAACATTACATATCCTGGTCTATAAACACACATTGAGAACCAACAGCAAGTAACAAGTAACCATGTAGTTCATGCCCCTGTCTGTTATTTGTTATACCTAAATCCTTACCTTGAAACAAACCACTACAATAGGTTAACTGCTTAGTAATGAGCTCAGATTGTGAGGTTAAAAACATAATGACAAAAGGAAAGTAGTACGCAACTTTACTTGCTTCTTTAATGTGTGCTATTATTTATTCATGCAGTTACAGTCAAAAGGCAACATAGTGGTGTATCTTTATTTTTCACTTACTGGACTACAGGCATTTATTTAAGGTTGTAGGAGAATTGTGTAGTGTTTATTATTCTGCAGCCATAGCATAAATTCTGATGACTTCAATATCATTTGAGAGTCCAGAAAAAATTTTTAAACACTTTTACAAAATCGGAATGTTGTAGAGCACATGGGCTTAATGTATGCAGTGAACAATTAATAGCATATGGGTGCTCTATTTGGAGAGCCAAAAAGGAACAGAAGTAAAACCTTTCTCTTAGAAGATAAGCTGTTCATCAGAAGTGTTTTCTGCAAGGAGATTCTGCACTTGTACTTATAAAGCAGTGCGAACAGAAAGAATCCTTGTGGACTGAGAAGGCTTCACTTTAAAGGAAAAGGCAGCTATAATACTGCATTTACAAAGCCTAAAAATCCTCAGAAATATTCTTTATACCTTCACTGTCTGCCACAGTATTTATTTATATCCTCATTTTCGTTCAGCTGCAGTTCATGGTACCTTTAAATAAGCACAGAAAACCAGATTATTTGTCTGTGCAGTGATGCAGTTGTAGCAACAAGGAATTCTTCAATAATAGAGAGCACCAGTAATCTCAAAATACTGAAATTGGTCTGTGCTTTCCTGCTGTTTTTGTCATTGGATTTGCCAAGATCAATCTTAGAGTAATAGCAATGGGTTTCTTAAAATAATCTTGTTTTGCATTAAAAATGTTTCTCTGTTACTGTTTTTATGTTGATATTTTCCACTGAAACTGTCATTAATACTAGAACATAACCAGGAAATTGCACAGTGTTCTTCATCCTTTTGGAGATTATCCTGAGATTCACCCACTAATTTTTCCTATCTTTAGTCTCAGGAACGCAGCTGGAGCAGATACATCTCAATGGGATAAAATAAGGGATACTCACTACTTCAGTGACACATCAGGTCTGAGATGATTCATTTATAGTTGGTGGTTTTTTTTGTTATATAGGAATGACTTGACAGGAAGACAGGAAGACTCATTAATATCTAGCATCAATTAAACTCCTAGATGAAAAGGTACAGCAGTCTACTTCATTGAAATTGACAGTGAAGGGAAAACAGGACACATCCACTTCACAGAGAAACGCTTGAAAAACTAACAGAATTCTCTCTTTCTTAATGGAGCTTTAATCTATTGAACACCGTATGGAGAGGAAAAAAAAAACCCTAATTATCCAGTTTCTAAACTTATAATTTCAGTAACGAGCATTTGTTAAGTATTGCACTGAGCAGCTGAGAGCCTCATGTCCACTAATTTTGGCATTCTTTACCATAAATTTATTCAAGAGCTGTCAAGACGAATTTAAGACCACGGTTACAATTTTCAATATCTGAACTATTGCAGCTCTTGAAAGTGCTTTGTAAACAAAGATCAATCTATGTTGCTTTGGACAAAAAGCAGCTATGGAATAGTACAGCTCATCAATATGAATTGTCTCAATGAGCCAAACACTAAAATATATTGAAATTTAACATGGAAATCGAAGTCTTTTCTCAAGTATCTGGAGAAAAGATTACTCTTCACAAAACAAAGACGTGGTAACAATTAGCATGTCAAAAAAACAGATCTAAATACTATTCAAATCACTTCTTTAGCCAGACCCTTAATTCAGACAACAGTTCTCCACAGAATTTTGCAGCCTCTTCACAACTGTTGTGCTCACCAAAGGGAGCTATTACTTGATCAGAATAATCAGACAGAAAACCATGTAGTCTGCTTCCACAAAAGCTGCAATTCATGATTCCATAAGAAAATTCTCCTTGAAAGGAGAGCTGCGCAAATGCAGCAGTATGATTCTCTGCTGTGTGCTCCAGACCATTCCTTTAATTTTACCAAGTAAAAGGCTCCGGGAAGCCTCTAAGAACTATAGATGTTGCCATTCTTTCATACAAGAGGCAGAGAATTCTCTTGGTGCAACACAGAGAAAAGTCTGCCAGATTTCAGGCAGCTCTCAAAGGAATCCCTCTCATGCTTTTTGGCAGGAGATTGCATTAAGTAGTGAAATTCTGTGCCACAGGTGAAGGAAGGGTGCTTCAGATGAAATTTTGAGCAGTGCTGCAGGATGATAAACTATTTTGAAGAGGATACTACATTAATATATGCTAAGGGGATATAAATTACTCCGAGAATTTATGCCATCTACAAAACAGTGCAAAACCTGAAGGATTAATTGGCGTATTCAAACCACTGTCAACATCTTCAGATTTCCTTAAGCTCAGTTCACCACCCTGCAAAGATGGTGACAAGACACAAAGATTGCGAGATGAAATACAGAAGTCGTACATCAGCTCCCTCTTGCACTCTAACCTTGACTTTAACCTCATACTAGCAAGGCTGCTCCATAGAATTATAACCTTTTTTTTTTTGAAACTATTATTCAGTGTTACTGTAATACACCAATTAATAACAGAATAGAGTATTTTTATGGATCTGATACTTACCTTGAGTCCACGAAAGCTGCCTGGGCTTGTTGGTGAAGAACTGGAGGACTTTGTAGATTTTGGAGTGGATAATTGACTGCTTGGTGTTCCATTAACTGCCAAAAGTAATACAAGCAAACAAATGGAAGATGATTAAAAGCAAGCAAACAAACCCACCTAACTAGCTCTAAAACATAATATCTCTTTCTGACTAGATATCACTCAAATCTGTGCATAAAGATCAAAAGAGACTCGTCATCAATTAGGAATAAATTATGTGATCACATGCCACAAAATTGTTCACCCAAAACTCATGTGGCTATATATGGGTTTAAGAGAATACACAAATATCACATTGCTCTTTCAGAATTTTAAAAAGTCAACTCTGTACTTCGCAAGTGTGAGAGCTTTTATAATAGACATAATCTCTTTACATTCCAGAATTTACTGTGATATTGCACAACAAAATATAGGGAGAGGAAGTTTTCATAAGCAGAAACACAAGGCTGTCTTTTTCTCACTTTTGTATCAATACAATACTTTTCAGGTATAACATTCTGCAGAACACAATTTTTGATGGTTTGTTGGTTGTGGGTTTTTTTGCTGTTTTTGAGTGTAATCTAAATACGTTTTTTTCAGCTTCAGCAGTCTACCTGTTAGTAGTCCAGGCTGACTGCACTGCGACTTCCAGAAATTCTTGTTCTTCATAACTGTATCTCTCATGTGTGGTGTTAAGGTACAAATATTTAGCTATAGAATAAGTCTGTCTTGAAATTTTTTAAATTGATTCCCAAACCAGTTACAGGACTAAGAATTTATTTTTTTCTGCAAAAGATATTTAGAATTTCAACATAGTTTTGAGTTTGACTTTAACAAGGGTTGCACACAAGCAATAGATAAGTAACTTCAGCTGAAGTGCATTTTTAAAGAAGTAAAAGGAATTTAGAAGCATATGTCCCTCGTGCAGATCTGTAAATATGCTGCTTTTCATCACTTTGTTTTACATAAACTTCTTTGAACTGAGCATGTCAGCGCCTTGTTGTTTTGAAAGGAATTTGCAAGTATGAAGATGAGAAGGGCTAGTAAATGCTGTTAGAAGTAGTTCCCAGCTGTAAAGTACATGAACAAAAAAAGACCAATTATTACTACAGAAGAAAAACAATTTTGTTTCTTCACAAATTCTTTTTTATGAAACTCATAGATAAGACAGTCTTTCCTGAACATAACCATTGAAGCCTACACCATAAGTCATCTCCATCTCTAAGTCACTCTCACCCTTTTAAGCAATGGCAGAACCACTAAGCTGTACCTGAGAGTTTGGCTAGTTAACAATCTTCCCTCTTTTAAGGAAGAATGTCCCACCATACACTCACAGTATTCCAGCTCTGTGCTTGCTGGACAAGTGTGGTGGCACTCTGAGCCAGGGGTGTGATTAAATGACCTCCTGAGGTTCCTTCCAACTATTTTCCTTCTGTTGTTATACAATACGTAGCACACTCTGCCAAGGATCTGAAAGGGATGTCTGTAGATCACAGAATCACAGAATTGTAGGGGTGGGAAGGGACCTCTAGAGATTGAGTCCAACCCCCCTGCAGACAGCAGTACTTTTTTTTTTTTTTAACTTGGAAAACAGAAGCAATCTGTATTTATTTTTAGCACTTAGCTTGTTTGCTGAATTGATTTGCTGATTATTTCATGTATATGCAAAACTTGCAATCTTAAGTATTTTCTAAGTGTAAGTACTTTTGAGTTTTCTTTCTACACCGAAAAAGCAGCTTGAACATAAAGAAAAAAAGAATCTACTCTGTTTTTCCTTAACTAGTACACGTTAAGTGACAATTCACTGTAGTGGAATGCTGAATACTGTAAAACCTGTGAATACCTTTAAAATTGTAAAGGTAAAAGTCAACACTTTTAATATGGTCCAAAGTCACAACTTATTTGCTAATGAAAACATAAATTACTTGAAAGAGATTTAGTGTTTCAGAGTAATACCAGCAAAATTTTCACTTGGAACTGAAGGTTGAAAGAGGTTTCTTGTCATTCCAGCCTTGGTTCTAAAACACCAAAAGAAAAAAAGAAGAGCAAGAGGCTGCAAATAAAAAGGTGTGGTACAAGTTTCTGCACCTCTCTTGTCAGCGCCTCTCTTGTTTTTTTCCACTACCTGAACATTTCTATTCTGCTTCTCAGAATGCTTTTCTGCTTGTAGTAAGATTAATTTAACATTAACAATGGTAGCAGATGTCCAACAAACAACTATAAAGCGTCATTTAGATTATCTCAGTCAAAGACCTACTTTTCACAAGAATAATGGATGCATTATGGGTCTGGCTCAGTAAATGCAAAATGTGCATTTCAATCTTAAAAATACTCACAGATGCAGAGGAAAGTGGAAATGGAGAGGAAGGAGACACACTAGTGATATACAGCCATAACAGTAATGGCTCACCTGGGGATTTTGCTGAAGAATGAGCACTGGAGTAGTGGCCACCCTTCTTAACTGTACTCATATATTTGACACAAAGGAAAAAGACATTAAGGAGAAAAGTTATTAAACAGCTCTGAACATGCATGAAAGAAAGAAGGGGAAAAAAAAAAAGATAACATTACATGAGAAAAAAAGGCAAGTAAATAGAAGGATAAACAGCAGACACTTTGGATAAATTTTCAGATTAAGCTAACCAATGGAAGTGTCCAAGGAGAAATAAATTAGGAAATGGCAGTGCTGATTTCTAAATACTTTGCCTAAAATTCACTATTGATAATGAATATATTCTATATATGTCCTGTGCAATCTGACTGCAGTTAACAGTCTTGTATGAAATACAGGCCATTCCTGAAACTCACCATTTGAGGCTTTCCAGTTAAATATACCAACTTTGCAAACAGAAGATAAATATTCCACTTCTAAAGATCTCACAGACATAAAATGACTTTAACCAGCATCTATTAAGCAATAAATATTGACATGGATGTGAGAATTTGGAACATATTGTAGTTTTGAATAGAGGCACAGGAGCTTACACACATATAATTACAATTGAAACAGAGCACTGTCTATTTACATATTCAGTGGTTTGATTTCAGGACTACTTCTTCAGGTCTGAGAGAAAGAAATCAATTGAGTTTTGTTTTATTTAAAAATTAAATGCAAAACTAGAATAGGAAAAACAAGATTCTCCTTTCTATTTATTTGTATAAAAGACTCAGTGTTTGGAACAGATGGGATTCAGTCACGCTTCCGTCAAATACACAACATGAACCTTACTTTGAAATTATACAGAGTACAAGAAAAAAAAATCTCTGTTAATGAGTAATTATATTCCAGAATAGCTCCTAAACTTGCTTCAAATAACAAAATCCTGTATTTTGACATTATTTGGTTTACATAGGAAGAAGCTTCTGAATTCAAAACATTTAAGGCTATAGTCTATAAACATCAATTCAACCACATAGCCATCCTATAGTTAAGTTTTCAAGCAAATTAACTGCTATGCTGAAAGCATATCCCAGGTAAACTATTGGCACAAATTATTCCAATCTTCTCAGAATCGAACTTTTTGTGCCTGTTAATTAATAAATAGAAACAACATTTCTTCTCAGGACTCAAAAATAAATGTGTGTTTTATTATAAACTAGTACTAAATCTATGTGAGAAACAGGTAAAACATTTTTATCAGGAAAGAAAGCATACTAGTTGTATTTCACAAAGAGCCAATAGCTTTTTCAACCCCTTAAGCAACTGCTTGAGTGTATTTTATGTGCTCATCCTAGAAGTTGTACCTGATGCAGGTGATTTGCTTCGACGTGAAGGTCCTGGACTTTTGGACCCTGAATACCTCATGCCAGATGATCGGGAGTAAGACGATTTCATAACACGGCACTCTGCAAACCAAGCAGGTGGAATTTCAAACACAATCCAGTGTACCAGCTTTCTGCAAACCCTGCAGTTGCTGTTTATTATCCAGAAAAAAACATCAGTATTTTCCCAATATGCTTGCCAAGCTGAATGAAGCAATCTCAGGACTTAACCCACACATCATAAAAAATTTTTTGAGCCAAATGCTTTATGTAACATTTCACATGTCATATTCAAAGTCTTGAACTTGGATTATGATCATTATTCAAGTTTGTACCTATGCGCGGCCAAATGATTGAAGTCAGTCAGTGACAATGTTCCTCTGATAGTTCAGTAAATTCTGTGTGCTGAAATGGCAACTTCATGTAGGGTAAATGCACAGCAAGCTTATTTTACCTTCTTTTGCAAGAAACTGATGTTGTGAACAATTTTTAAAGAGGTGAAAAATGCCTATTGCTTCCAAAATGCTGAGACAACAGATTACTGTAATTTACCATCAACTATATATCATGAAATAAAGGACAACCCAAATAGGAAAGGAGTAAATAATCATACATGTATTGACATTTTTGAAAAATTTAAATTCCTACAGTTAGCATCTATTGCAAATCTCTCCCCATCTAATCATATCGTTTTCCTTCTTAATTTTGTCCCTGTTATTCATCACTGTAATGGCAATGCCATGACTATGCTATCAAGTCATCATCAAAAATGATACGTAGAGCTGTACGCCCCAGGCATGATCCACTCTGTACTGAAATTGCTTTTATCTATTTATCTATGAAGTCCTCCAAAAGTATTAAACAAAGCAAGGCCCATTGATGGTGAAGAGACCAAGCGAGAAAGAAACCCTCAGTTTCTAGTTTCTCAGTAAGGAAATCAGCGTGGTTAGTCTGCACATGTTAGTATGGGAAAAGCAAACTTTTAACCAAGGGTATTTATATTTTTGTCCAGACTAGAATTTGCAGTGTGAGGTAACAGGGTCATGTTCTCTTATGGCTGCACAAGAATACAACTGGACCTCAGCTAGTTTAAAACCGTATGTAAAAATTACCATTTATTTGAATCAACATACTCTGGTAGTTCTAGAAGAGCAGCATGCTGGCAATAACAGTAAAATGGGAGAGAGCTGAATTTGCCAATGCATTCAGGTGTATAAAACACTGTGGTTAGGCATATAACTATATTACTTAATATAATAGAAGATTTTGTAATCGAATAAGATTGTTTATAGCAATTAGAAAAAACAGCATAAATATACAATCCAAAGTGAACCTCAAATAATCTGATGATTCTTGCCAGGGCAATTACTGCTACCCACAAAACTTTCACAATATAAACAAGCACAACATTTGGTCTACAGCATTCAAGAATGATATATGAATTGTTTATCAGGACAATCTGAGACATGAAATTAGCAGTTATGTATAAGATTTTTCAAAACTCACATGAAGACAATAACATGGAGACCATCTTGTAGTCTGCAGTTGTCAAAAGAAAATGTTTGTAACTGGCTTTAGAAACACTAGAAATGCAAGTGAACCTTTTAAAATGCAATTTTAGAAATTACACTTATATTAGAAATGTAAGTGAACTTTTTTAAAATGCTGTTTTCCAGGCAAGTTTAAGGACAGGATTTGTTTCCTAAGAAAACAGATCATGTTTGTTGGTGGATTTTAACTGATGTACAGAATATAGATGATGGGTTGGGAAAAATGCTTTAAGTGATATGGAAATATATTCCAACACATATTTTCCTATATCATATAGCTCTTGAGGATTGACCAGAGGTTAGGAAAGACCTCAATGAATTTGTTTCTATTGGGTTCAGGAAATGCAGTCTTACCACTGTGATCCAAAACGAAGTCATCCTGAGCATACCGGTATTTTTCAGGGCCACATGCAATGAAGACATCATCATCTCCAAAGAAGTCCTGCAAGCATGTCACCTTAATGGCAAAACATACAGGTTAAAATAAACAAATGTAGCATTTTCACATGGTAAATCTTCCGTTAGTCAGCAACTCTTATTAAGTTTGTGTACTCCTTTTTACTCTAATGTTCTTCTATAATAACAGTCGTCGTAGTTCTCAAGTACTTTAGCTATTCCTCATGTGCAGGAACACTCACAGCCAAGAATGTAAATACTTACTGCCCCTTACCTCCAAGACATGCTCCTCTTGTACTTCTTCTACCTGTACTTTTGCCGATATGTGCATGGTAATGGCTTTGCAGCTAGAAACCCTACTGATAAGTAGCATTAAAGCTTCTGGTATTCTTGCACTAATGGCTTGTGAGCAAACTCTGTTCAAATTTTTGCTTCTGTAAGATTTTTCTTAACGCTCTAATGTATTTAATTTTCATCTTTAAATGTCACACCAAACCAAACCACTACTTGTCCCTTTTCTTAAAAGGTAATCTAGAAAAAAACAAAATACAGAGTTCCTTCCATGCCCTTCACAGCTCATTCTGTTTTTAACTGTTAAAGTACTATTGTTACAATCTATTTCAAGAAAGATGAGGCTTTAAAAAGGACAAATGCTTTAGACTCAAGAGACAAAACTAAAGATCATGGAAAAAATAAGAACAAAAAAGCAACTAAGCCTCAAGAAATCAGTTTGTGTAGGAGTAAATATCTAATTTAGAACAAATTAAAACCAATAATGCCACAAAATAAATCTCACTGAACTGCTTTTAATTCACTCTAAGAAAAAAAAAAAAAAAAAGAAGATTACAGGTAGCAAGACAATTCTTAAAACTAATCTGATCAGCATTTTCCTGTGTAATTGCTTTACATCCTCTCCCACTCCCAACCTTCCCCACCCCTTCTCTATTATTTTTAACATTCTTTTTTGACATTGCATACCCTGAATGGGATTTGGGAATAAAAAACAGGCAGAAGCTAGGGAAGGTGGAACTATTTGGTAAAACCATTTAATTAACCAAGTAAAACAAATGATTGTTTCTAGGGAAACGGGTATTTCTCCTTTCCAGCTACCTGTCAGCACCATTTGCATATTTTACCCAGGGTGATAATGGCAAATACTGGCATATCTGGAGGGAGGGCTTGCTGCTGCCTGCAGCAGGCAGCACTCAGAATACCAATGACCCTGTGTGCTCTGCAAGAAGAGACCAGGCAGCCAGAAGCAGCACAGTTGTCATGGCAGCTCACCCAGAGCAGCAGCAGGTGCCCCTCCAGTACCGTCCTCATGCTGTGCCACTTGCAGTATCGAGTATTTCTTTCACTGTGTTAGGGAGACAAAGGATTCCAGCCTCTAATGAAATCCTTTTATTTTTGTCCTACCGTCTTTACAACAATCTAGTCACACTGCCTGGAGACATTTTAAGCTGCACTTGAAATTGCTACCAAAGAGGCAGTAACAACTTGATTCAAAAGGCTGTACAAATTTCAGAGTCTTGCTAACATGCTCACATCCCCTCTACTTAATAACCTTCTCTATTAATAACTGAACATTGCCATTTCCAGAGATTTCAGATTTTTTTCTTTCTTTTGCCAGAAGCCTCACCACTGAAGCAAAAGCAAGCTTTAGAAAAAAAAAGACTAAATATCCTTACCACCTGCAAGGAGTAGGAGGGCAGAGAGCTCAACAGCCAACTCAAACCCACCATTATAAGAAAAGCTATGAGAAAGCGTTCAGAATAGTCATCCAGGATGCACCACTGCAAAGAGAAAGAAGCTCTCTGTGAAGCACAAGCTCACATCCCAAGTCCCAAAGTGGGGGCCGTTCCCACAGGCTGTACACCCATCACTTGTTTGCTTGTGCCTCTAGTGCCACTGTAGTGCTGTTTTGAGCTAGTTACATTTGAATGCTGTACTAAAATGAATCTGGTTCTAATATGAAGCTTCTCCCTGATTCCTTAACACGTCCAGAGTAATATCCAAGCTGTAAGGTGGAGAGGACAGAATGATGGGTCTTATGTCAGATTGTGAGAAATACATGGAGATGCACGTATGATACCATGCGTGGTATCATCCTTTTGCTGTTTATAGAGCAGTTCTACACACCAATGAATCTACAATGATCTGTGCACAAAAGATGACTGGAATAGCCTTGAAAGTGCCCCTTAAAAAAAAAAAAAAAAAAAGGTATTTATTTCCATAGACTTATGTATACTTTCCTCACACAAGAATTCACAGTAGAAGTTGACATAAGTACCATCTATCTTATCCTTTCCTGGCTATTTTATAAAGAAATGGTATACATCTCCATGGGAGAAATAGTGTTACACCAGTAGCATTCAAGCCATGTCGAAGCATCCAGTGTCACAGTGTGAGCCAGAAGAACAAGTAATGGGCAGGCAGCAATGACTGGCAACCAGAGTGGAAGGCCTAGCCAACTATACTGCTCTTGACGTAGCAAAACTGGATGTAAAGCATAACAGTATTTGACCTCTTCATCCACAGATGATGACAATGCTGTTTTTACTTTATTCGTGACAAATAACAATGCAACAGCTCACAAAGAGAAGATATCCTTAAGGTATCCAGTCGTCTCAAATGCAGTTATGTTGAATGGAAAGAAATTTACACGCTGAAGTGAATAATACTGTGTTCCTTAATTATTACCTGGGGGTTTTAACTAGTTTCATGTTCTAGTACAAACAAATTCAAGCTTTTAGCACATACGCTTGTGATGTAACTTTGAAATACAGATAATACAATTAGTGACAAATCAAAAAAAACACCACACAGCAGATCAGTATCAACACCTTCCAGCCAAGAGTTCACTGAATAAATTGTTATTTATTCCAGCTGCACAGCTATGTTTCATCCTAAACATAGAATGATGAGCTGTAAAGAGAAATGGACTGATTCAATTTAGCATGGCTGATTCAATTTAAATAACAGCAACAGGACTGTTCATTTTAAGTCTGCAGAACCACACCCTGTGTCTGGGGAAATCTGCTCGGGATGACAAAATCCCCATATCAGACGGAAATTGAACTACAACATCCAAACTGAAAAAGATAGACAGGATTATTTTCATTTCTTTTTAAACAATAAAGAAAAAAAAATATATTTACTGACTTCAGGAAAACAGGATATGGTATAAATATTTGAAAAAGGAAGTGCATAAAATACAATGCAAAAGAAAAACTAAGAGAAATGATATGCCAAGTAAAGCTGGATTTGTGGATGTGTTTTTCAGCTCAGTAGTAGTGACAAGCATTAAAGGCTGAAGCTCTTAAAAAAATGCAATGTGTTGTTTCATTTATTTATTTATTTATTTATTTTTCCCGCCATCAATTGCTACCAAAAAACATAATAACATATTAAATGTCACTGTGACAGAACTAGATATAACCTCCAGACTATTACCTTCAGTCTGACAGGTCTCCACTTCTCTCCCAAGAAATGCTACTCATCTTTGACTGGACCAGATCACAGCTTGCTGTCCTGACAGTTTTGCCCTTTGCAACTTTTTTTTTCTGAGTAAGCAAAAGTAAAATATTTGTCTATTTTACCAGACAGGCTAGCTTTGTAATCATCATTTTTGTTTCCCTTTTTCAAACAAAGTTAGCATTGCTGAGGTTCAAGAGTTTGTCCATGTCCTAAAGAGCAAAGTACAAGGAAAGCAGTCCTGCAGAAATAGGGGAGTTGGCCATTTTCTATTTCAGATCCATCACCACCAGCAAGGGCAGACTTAACTTTGAAAAGGAAGAGCTTCCTCTCAGCATCCTCCGAAACTCAAAGAGGAAGGTAAAAAGGGCAGTCCCACCCCTTCCTTCTGAGTACTGTGATTTTAACACAGATTTTCTTACCTTGGAACTTCCTCTGTGTCTCTGCACTGACTCAGAACAATTTGACCAAGCCAAAAGAGATGGATGTGTTTAACCATTATTCTTAACTACTTACTAAATCATCAGTGTCCTTCACTACTCAAACTGAGACCAGAACAAAAGAGGTTCAGCACTAGCTTAAGGCAGCTATTTGCCTGTTTATACTGAAACGCATTTCCAGACAGGTCTTCAGTAAACTGTGAGAGAGAAGCCAAACCAGTAGCCAGGACACATCCTGGAAGACACATACAAAGATAAGTCATAAACCAGTGAATCCTTGATATACCCTTCTTAAAAAAAAACAAAAAACCAAAAAACACTGGAATTGCCAGTATTCTTTTTAATTAACAACATGTTCACTTGGCAGAAATTACAGTGTCAAGGGCAACCACGCTAAGTGAATTAGAAACAGGTGAAAAATAAATTGTGCAAGAACCAGACAAGCATGGAAGCCCACATTAGAGTACACAGGAATAGCAACAAAAACACTGCTAGACTAAATATGTGGTAAATTTGGAATCTAAGTTAGAATAATAAAATTCTTGCTGGTATAGAGAAGAAGCACTTGCCATCTTTGAGGCTTAACTAGGTCAAGTCACACAGAAAGAATGCAAAACTAACAGCTGTTACAAAATGAAAAAGTTCATTACCTGATTTGTTACACGTCTGTGCATGTTGGTGAATTTGAAACCAGCAAATTTACTTTGAAATTCAAAGACTTTCCTTTATAATAATCTCCTATATTTCTGAACAAAATAAATAGTATTTTAAAAAATGTTTTATCAATTATTTAGATACTGTAACACCATCCTAACAATCTCAGTTAACCAGTTTGTGAAACATCTCCTTTCTCTCTATGGATGGATGAAGTACTATCCCCTCACTAAGCTGCTGTACATTTCCATAAAGCTATATGTTACAGTCTGATTTCTAGGCTAGAACAGGATATTGTCTGATTAACTTTTCTTTCATGAAGTTCAATAGACAGCTAGAAAATAATTAAGTTTCTTGAATATACATGTATATTTAAAAAATAACATTGTAAATATTGAAAGACAGCTTGTTACCCTATTCAGGAAAAATGGGGGAAAAAAACTGAAAAAAAAACCATAAGAAAAGAAGAATAATGCTCCTAGGCCAACTTTCT